ATTAACTGTTTCTGAAATAATTTAATCTTCTGAGCACAGGAAAAAGGCAGAACATGCTGGGAAAGCTCTGCGCTGCAGATATGTCATGCTCAGTGGAGACAATAAAATATAAGTACTATGATGACCTCTGTTCTTAGGATCTCTGCCATGCCAGTCTTAGGGCTACAGCAGCAGCATGGCAGTGTGAGCTGTAAAACACAGAAGGAGTGGGAGATTCCTGGTGGCTTTATCTCCTTGTTTTATGTGATATGAATGTATTAATGGCATCCATAGGCCCATATTTTGTCTGCTGCATGAGGATGAAGCATTCTAAATAAATGTGGTTAAAGACGTGGTTCTTTCTAGTTTTTGATGGCCTGATTGCTCAGTATGACAGTTTCTCCGACATCAGAGTCACAAACTCATGTATGCACAGCAAAAACTGGGACATTGCACAAAACCAAAAAGGGGATGCTCATAGTGTTTAAACCTTTGCTATTATTTTGCATAAAAACAAATTACCTGCCATCCCCCTTTGCTCCTGAAGCCTTTAAGCAGGAGACCTGCACAGTAATGTATTAGATTTTCCTGAAAATTGACACAAGTTGACAGTGGACTATGCATTTAAGGGACAGAGAAGGAAAAGAGAGGGCTTAAACTGATGAGTTTGAGCACTATCTCCCTTGTGACTTGCTTGTTCTAGTTTCAATTAATTCTACTTGATGAGAATAAAGGAAAGCATTGCTCATGGAAGCAAAGAACAAGAAGTGTTAACCAGATGGAAACTGGTAAGGGCAACAAATTAAGAAAGAATTTGTGTTCCTACCTGGAACACGAAAATAAAGAGACTCCATCCATCATATCTCTTAAGTACAGGAATAATGCTTTTATGGAAAAGATAATTATGTGCCACAAAATGGCATATGTTAAATATCTTGCTTTGACAGGAGAGCCCTCTGTGTACACTGTGTATACTGACATGTACAAAAGCAAATGCTTCTGTGAGCCATTCATTATGCTCTCAGCTTCATGTATTTTACCTTACAAGAATCAAATTGGTTGTTAACACAAATGTTATTAAACAAACAAAATCCACTTACCATCACCTGATGTGTAAACTTCATAACCATCAGTATCTCCTGATAAGTTGAGCAGTGTGCGCAATACCTCAGGTTCAAGCAGAAGGTCATGTTCCATCACCAACAACTCCTTCTGCCCTGAAAGATGCTGGAAATACATAGAAGAAGGTGCTGAATAGAAAATTTCTCCTCTGAGCATGCATTATTCTCCATGATTCATGTATAATTGCAGTGCCTGAGACTAATGCATCTCTGAGAAACCAATAGTAACATTTGTCTCTTTATCAGCTGCAGGGTCTGCCTCTGCTGCCTCTGCCTTTTGGGTACTCTACAGGGGCAGGTAAACACTGTCTCATATCAGAACAAAGCTGCCCAATGTGAAAGTATTAGATAGATGCTTAACTTTCTTTCTTTCCTCCTGAAAAGATGTTATCTGTTTTCACTTTCTTCCATGAATTAGACAGATTTCTGTCTTACCTTCTTTTTTCTTACCCCTAGGCCAGTAGGTAACAGATAATAACAAACCTCACCTTGAATGTCTTGGCACTTTTTTTATATTGGTTGTAAAAAACGTAAAGGGGAAAAAAAAAAAGCCCTATCTCTATTACATTTTTCTTACTCGGACTCCCTCAGTTTGAAGATGACAAACTGCTTTCTCAGTGCCAAATTATTAATCTTGCTCCAGTGAACTACATACTGCTACTGGTTTTGTAAGGTCGTGGTGTGGACCAGTGGACAACAGCATCTGGCTTTTCAATGTGCAGCGGGACGTTTAGCACTCAAAGAAGCAGCCACAGGGCTTGAGTCTACAGTAAGGGAGAATGGACTGGACAGGAGCAGGTCAGTAATTGCACCTGCATGTCTGCAGGCAGCCGTTACAATGTTGGATATTAAATTTTGGGGTTAACATTATTAGAAGAGATTGTCCACAAGCCAATGCAGATTGAGGAGATAAGCAAAGATGCTGAACTTCAACATCTTGCTGGATGGGAAATGCCTTTTCCATGTCTCACTGCTCTACAGTTCTGGCATGCTGCCTGTCTTTTGCAATGAAACAGAACATCCCCCTGGTTGTTTAGAAGGCTCAAGATCCACTCATCCTCCACAGATTTCTACATAGATGTCCTCAACATTTGAGAGAGTCACTGTGTCAACAACATATCCTGCCTTTCAACAAGAGCTCCTCATCAGTAAAAGAGTATATCTCATTGGTCTATTTATCATTGTCCTCCACAATCCTAGATGCTGAAATAACAGCTCAGGTATGGAGAAGTAGATTAGTTGTAATGTACTGGCTTAACCAAGCAGGAAGGTAACAGAGAAAGGGAGAGCATTGGAAGACTGCTGTGAAGTACGAAACATACATGAAAACACTAGTCAGCAAAACACAAGAAACTGGAATCTTTTTCAGTGCAGACAGGAAAAATCCCACCAAGGGGCAAGTAAATTCACAAAAAAAAAAAATAAAAAAAAATGCTGGAGTACTGCAGTAAGAGTGCTTGTAGTAAAGAGTCTGATCCAGGCATGTTCACAGAAACTGAAATAGAGTTTCTACTGTCAAAGATCCATGAACTATGCAAGAATTTCTTAGCAGTAAGTATGAAGCTATTTGCCTAATTTCTGTGTGTAAGCACCATACGAACTGGAGTTCAGGTTCATAGGCTTTTGAAAAGGAATGCAATTAAGCTCACAAATCAGGTGTGAAAAATTTGACTCTAGGTATTTGCATATAGCACTGTGTGAATAATTGATTTTCCAGTTGGCTAGGCCAGCAGTTCTGTTCAATTTCACTTGAGTGCACAGAAAAGATACAGGCTCTTCATTAGCACGGAAAGAAGAAATATTGCTTAGCCTTTATACCTCAAGACTCCTATGACAAACACAGAGCAGATCTATACCTTGATACAATTAGAGTAGGAGATCAAGTTTAGTTAATCGTGTTCAGATTCTGTTTCTATTTTCAAATTTACAAATACACTTTCAGTTTTGGAAAAATGTTATGTTGTTGATGTTTGATGTAAATTATCTGGGGGGAGATGCGAGAAGCAGCAAATGACTGTAGTGCTTGCTTTAGTATGTCCAAATAAAGGCCAATTTTTAGCAATTGAAATTGTTCTAGAAGCTGTTCATTCATGCTTAGGTTAGTAAGTCAATGACATTGTGCTCAAGGGTAAGAACAATTGCAGAGATAAACTGAGTTATGCCAACACTTACAGAAATTCCACATTACTGGTGTCTCTTGCAATAAAAAGCCAAAACACCCTGTCATGGACATTTGTTATCATACAATGAAAGTGTGACAATATCCCCAAATCCACTTTTATTATAAGAAAATTCCTCTGGCTGGCAAATGTAAGTGTCTAGACATGCACCAGGAAAGGAAGTAGAAAAGTGCTCATTGTCCATCATTAGCTGTGAAGAAAACACTTTTATACATAATGTGGCATGTGTTCTCAGATATGATCTGAATATCAAGGTCAGTATGCTCACTTGTCAGAAAAGGATCATGCTCAGCTTTAGAATAAGTAAATTGTGATGGTTTGGAACAGATTTTCATATAAACATTTCTTTTGGTTTTAGTTTGTATCTATACAAAACAGATTATTGAATGAAAAGGTTTTAAAATGAGACATGTAGGTGGTTGACATGGGTGGAAGTCTGCAGCATGGAATTTGCTTAAAAGGAGCTGACTTTTGGGATATGCACTGTGGGAATCCAGGACTCAGCGCAAGGCAGGAGGGATTAAAGTGTTTGCCAGTCTCTGCACTGTGCCTATGATTTCAGCTGAACTGCAGTTTCAACTGTACAGTACAGTACATTTCATACAGTACAACTGTATGCTCATGAAAATCACATACACATCAAACTTCTGTACTATCCAGAAATGTTCCCTGAGATTAAGCCAAATCCACACCCACATGACATTTAATTTTAACAAATTATTCATAGATGGATTCATAGATGTTAAAGTCAGAAAGAAATCCTGCAAGCCTCAACCCTGACATCCTGGATAACACGGGATAGTCAGGCTGTGATGATCTGACTTAGATTCACATGAACATTAAAACAAAAGGAGCATGGAGTTCAGTGAGATGATGTATTTTTAGCATATATGTGATTGCTTTTTTGTCATATTGTCAAATTGTCATGGAAAATACTGTCACTGATGAAAAGCTCTTGATTTTCAAGGACTGTTTACTGAAGTTGGTCCAGGGACAGCTGTAGCACAGTCAGCATTTAATCACAGCAGTGGATTGCTGGGGTGAAAAAATGTCCATGACCTCACGATTTACCTTTCCCGTGCTCTAGGAGCTGTTAAGCATCCCTGCTTAAGCATTCTGGAGGTGACTGCCAGAGCTCATGCAGCAGCAGCTGTGGCTCAGGGAACCACTGCCACCTCTCAGCAATGACAGCCACTCCACAGCTTCCCCAGTTCATGGTAAGAGTCTCAAACCTGTAGCCTTCTGCCTCCTTCTCTCTCACCATTCCTCTTCCACAATGCAAGCATCTTGATCCAAGTCAGGAACATGATCCTTGCCTACAATGCAGAGAAAGCAATAAGAGCCTCTGCTTCTAAGAAGCCTTCAGACAGCTCTGAGAAAGGAATATTACACTTAGATCCTTGAAATTCATAAAACTTGTCTTTAGATTGCTGACAGGAGCCCCTAGACTTTGTATTAATCATTATTTATCAATAATCCCAAAACAAATCTATAGGAACAAAAATTCCTTTTTAATCCCCACGAAGTAATGTCAGGCAGATTTCCAGTATACTTGGTGTTTTGCTTCCTATTGCCCTTAGGTGAAGCACGAAAGGACAAGAATCACTCATGTCACCAACCAAAGGACTCAGAGGAGCTCTTTAGCTCATTTTTACTGCATGCAGAGATTTATAACACTCTATGTATCAGCCATTAGAATTTATAGTGTGCTTAAGGCAAATTGAGACATTTATTTAAATACATCAAGAGCCTACCACGTATGTCTGTGAGATATTTCCCTCACGGACAGGTAGCTATCTGTTGAAAAACACGTAAAGCCCTGGATCTGTGAGGATTTTTGGTTGGTTTCACTCCCTGTTGGGGTTTTCTCTGAAGTGGTCTCTTGGTCTTGGTACATGATGTTTCTGGTGTATAGCTCTTTTAAGTGAATGTACATTCTGACGCATATATTATAAAAGTCAACTTTTCACCGGAGGCATGTGTTTCTAGGCACAATCTGGGGTTTGGAAATAGTTAGGGCTACATGCTGGAAGTGAGGCCAGCTTTCTGTGGCATGCTGCCACATCTTTTTTGATTAGGAAGTTAACAGCTGGATAACTTCTGAAAACAGGAAGGTATGACAGCAAAACTTTATTTCAATTAAATAGCTCCCATATAAACACAGGAATTCCACTGTCATCCCCACTTCTTATCCTCAGCAGGTTTTGCAAGGACAGACTGGCTGGGTGACAGGTCCAGTGGCTCTGTGCTAGCCACAGGTCGCTGTGAGCAGGTCTCTTACCTAGTTCAGCTGGCAGCTGAAAGAAATAATCTGAAAAGTCACATCACATTCAGTTTTAGCAGAATTTACTATTCCTCTGTGGAACTAGTGATTCGAAAAAAAGTTTTCATGGAGACCTAAGGAAAAGCTTCCAACACAGGAATTGTCTTGTACACAAAATGGCTGCCAGCTCCCCTCACTGCCAGTGGTTTGGAATCAACAAAATGGCCACCCTCTCCCCTCACAGTGTGCAAGAACAGGCAGAAGAGAGGATTAGAAAAATAAAGGAAAAGGAAGCAAGGAAAGAGTAAGTGTTGCAAGTAGATACAGGTGAGGGTGGGCTGGCAGCCCTTTTTCCTGTGAGCAGCATGGAGGAAGGCCGTTCTGGTGCTGTGTGAGCGTTCAAGGTTAGATGAACCTTAGAAGTCAGTAGACGCTTTTGAGATGTCATCCACCAGAAGCTCAAGCATCAGCAGGAAAATGAAAAGCCCTAAAACCAGATTAATTTAGCAAACCAACCGTGATTTTAAAGCTGTCTTTGGAGGTTTAGCTGATACTCCTGGGCTGCTGAAGTACACAGTTGTGAGCAGTGCCATTTTGAGCACTGGTGGCTGCTGATTAGCAAAGTGTGATATTTCCTGAATTATTTTTGGTATAATTTAATCATTATTAAAAAAAACCACAAAAATATTTTTGCAGTTAAAATAAGTATGTTCTTTTCTGGTTAATAGTGAAAATAATCAGCTTTCTCAGATATTTTGCCTTTCTTCTTACAGGACAGAAACAAGTATTCTGCTGAAGGAATTCATCTGACTGAGGACGCTAAATGAGCTGCTGCAAGGAAGCTGAGTAAAGACAGAGATGGAAAGTGGTTTGAATGCCTCTGAATGAAGGTAAGCAAAGCTGCAAATGATGGTAATATTCCTGACAAGGGGTGTTTGAAAGGCTGGAGACTTTAAGGGGAGTTGAGTTCAACTCCTGATCTGCAGTCAGTGAGGAGAAAATGGATCATCTGGAGTACCTTAGGCTTAGGCTCGGGGGGTGGCAATGTGGCATGAAGAGGGGAAAAGTTTATAAGGTACAGAAGGTGAAAGGCACATCTAGTTCTTAATTGTTGGATAGCAAGGCAGCATTACAGCAGGGTAGCACTGTGCCTGCAAAACAGAGGGCATGCGAGGCAGTGGAGAGCTAACAGACACCCTTTGTGGACACCACAGCATTGAAGCTTCCTCAGCCTCTCTAGAGATGAAGTCTTGTATTCAGTAGCATCATGAATACAACTACCAGTTAAACATGAATTGACCTATCTATTAACTGCCTAGTGTACATGTAAAAATCACCTATTTCTATACATTGACAGAAGGCAAGCTGGAGAAAAGATGCAGCATTTTTTTTTATGAAATACATGTGTGATGTGTGATGGTAAAAGCTGTGATGGTAATGGTATGATCTGTAATTATACTTTTTTTATAGCCCAGTTTCCCCTAAAGTTCTGAATGAGGTTTAATGTAAAGTATGCAAAAACATTTTTCAAATAAACAAAATGAAGCTTAGAAATGCAAATTCCCTGAAGGCTGGTTAAATTAATTTCAACTTAAATGATCTGTTCCCAAATCCCCATGAAATTCAATCTTCACATACAAAAAACCATGTTAATTTTGAATTGACAGGGTTATTCACACCAAGCAATGTTATTTCACTTAATTCCCACATTTAAGTCTCCTTTTAACCATATGCTTTCAATGTTTATGTTGTTACAATGTATTGCAGTTTCAACTATCAGTGATTAGAAATTGCAAATGTTCAGGTGAGAATCAGGTAGAAGAAAATCAAAATGATAGAATTACTGTTTAAGTTCTACTGTCTCTTGCAAAAACATTTTGAGTATGAGTGGAAATTTGGTATCTTAATCTTTTTAATTTTAATGCTTGCCATTAACTCTTTCCTGTGAAGTGCGTAAATTACTGGGTGTTAGACTCACTTTGTCATTGTTCCTGCAAACACAGCTGGACTTTGAGTACAGACAAGCCTGAAAATTTTCTGTATCCCCACCATTGTGGGCCATTTTTCCCCACCACATTTCTGGTGAACTCGGGAAAGAACCTTTCATTGATAAATAAAAAAATCCATCCTCAAAGTTGCCCTTAATAGTCCTGCGTTGTTTAAACATACTGTGCAAACTGTGACTCCTTGGAACAATTACACAGATCAGTTGCCTATATTTCTTTATAAACAATACTGAGATTAATTAGTTGGAATGGCTTCCTTTGCTTCGCCTCTGATGTCATGAAAATGCTATTACTAGCTCTTCCTTGGACAGAACAAACAAGCATATCTGATATGCAAGCTAATATAATGTCCTTTATTTACATGATTGTAAATCCTGTTAGCTCTAAAACAATCTTGAATTTAGGAGAGGGCCAAAAAGGAGAATAACAAAAGAGAGAAGTGACCTCAGTAATTCCACACTGACGTATCTTCAGCCTCAGAACTGGCATGGGAAGGTTGTGTTATCAGTTGGCATGGGAAACCTGAGTGATGATTCTGCCATTCTGCCCACAGCAGGACATAAACAACTATTAATTGTTTCAGTAGTTCCTAGCTTTTACCTATACCTCAGTTAAGTTTTCTGTGTGATATGTATAAGGTTTCAGACATGTGGAATAGAACTGATACTTTAAATAGAATTAAAATGGTATTTTAGGCCTTCAAGAGCTTTGTGTTCAATACTGAATTGTTTTAGGCTTCTATTATAACATCTATGCACATGTTTTATGTAGATCCACATCATATTGCACAACTTGTTAATTTAAGTATCTAAATGAGAAATTTAACCTCTTTAGCCTTACTTCTTGTTGGTCCCTCAGGTGATTGACCTATGTGCATGCACTCTGTAGTACATGTGTGGGAAGCTATGTTGGGTCTTCTACATGCATGTTATACCATGGATCTGTTCTTGTTCAGTAGGTGTAGGTAATTTGTGAGGGAAAGGATAGTGACATTCAGGCTGTGTCTGCCTGCCTGACTTGCAAGGGCTCGAAATCACTGTTTTTGAAAATGAAATCCCATTCTTTAGTGAATATGTGATTTATGGGATCAGCCTTACCGTGGCATATGCAGGATTAATTTTGCTGAAGTCAGTGGCATTCATCCCGTGATTTGGCAATCTTCCTTTCTAAAACAGGCACAAATAAGTAATAATAGAAAAAATAAATGGTTGCTTCATCTTAAAAAAAAAATCAGCCTGATTTATGTTTTTTCTTATTTCTTTCCCTTAATTTTTATGTGACAGAAATTGATAAAGTAATCATAGGTCTTATATTGCCAAGAAATCAGAAATTGTTTGGGAACTCATCTGAAGCTGTTACAAAAATCTGAAGCAATGTTTATGCATTTAAGAGCTTGTAATATTTAATTACATGTGATAAATATTTTTCTATTTTAAAAAACCCTGGGAATTTCCTAGTACAAAACTGAGCCTGACCTAGGTCATGTTGGACTTTTTCGGCAACAAGAAGCTTCAGATTCTCTTCATCAGGGATTATAGTGATCAGACAGGAGGTAACGGGTTTAAACTTAGACATGGAAAGTTTAGGTCAGCTATAAGGAAGAAGTTCTTTATTGTGAGAGTGGTGAGGCACTGGAACAGGCTGCCCAAAGAAGTGATAAATGCTCTATCCCTGGCAGTGTTCAAGGCCAGGTTGGACAGAGTCTTGGGCAACATGGTCTAGTGTGAGGCATCCCTGCCCATGGCAGGATATTGGAACTAAATGATCTTAAGGGCCTTTCCAACTCAAACCATTCTATGATTCTATGATTCTATCTAGCAGAGAGAAAAAAAAATAAAATTAGATTCATTCTGTATGCTTTTGCTGTGAATTTAATTTTTTTCTTCTGGGCTCCATGCCTCTCAAGTATACCCTAAAAAAAAAATACCATTTTTGATACATAATTTTTTGATTCAGTTTCTACTTAATTCTGTTAAGTTGCTATTTCTGTTTGTTTTATTTCTGTTTTCTGTTGGTGTCTTTTACTGTTGTAGTATTCATACTCAACAAAAAAGCATAATTTTTCTTTACAGATATGCCAAAGGGAGCCTGTCCATAGCAGGCATTATCTTTATATATGCTTATATATATATGGCCGCTTCCCATATATATATAATTATATATAAATGGTCACTTATTCTGGGATGTGAAGGAAAGAATAAAGTATGCAGGCAGAATGCAGTGAGGGGATTACTAGAACATCTTGAAACTTAAAGGAATGCTGCTATTCAAAACAGTGCTCTGTATCATGTCCAAAGCTGGTATTTTTGGCAGGATTAAGTTCTCTAAAATTTTCAGGAAGCATTTAAATATGAAATGAAAAGTTTTGCCTGGTATTTTGTGTATGTAAAACTTGCTCTTCTTTCATACTATGCTTATTTTTTATCCATATATTTGGTTTAATATTGTATATTCTTTTATCAGAAGTTGAACTGCATTCTATAACCATCTGAGTTATGTGGACTTTTCCTGTCCCTGTAGCAGCCCTGTATATGACACGATGTAGCAGCCAAGCACACAGGACTCCCCAGTTCCACTGGTCTGCTGTGTGACCCAGGACAAAATTTTTATTCTTCAGTCTTACTGCTCAAAAGATGCAAGACTGCAGATCTATCAGTTTCCACGGCAAAACCCCCAGCAATTTCTCAGTTTCTTGATGATGCATCAATGACAATTCTGTCTGCTCTCTTAAAACATTACCAGAGGAGAAGAGAACTTAATAGAATCAGTACTGTTCATTCAAGACTCTTAGCGGTTAAAGCGGAGGCCTGCCTATAGGCAAGATCCTTAATCTCTCTGTGGAGTAGAGATAATGTAGTTTTCCTTCTCCCATCTTCTTGCTGTTGTTGGTTATTTATACAAGATTTTTTCTCTCTGTTTTACTACTTGCATGCATAATTTCATAGTTCCCACAGTAAATGTAACTTTGATTTTCTAAACACTGCTTGAGATCTTGATGTTGGGTGTTTTTTCCTGCAGAATCCACTGTAAAATCTGTCTTCCACTGGTTATCAGCTTTTTTAGGGTCATCAGCTTTTCTATCCAGACTGAGTCACTCTAGCATTGATAGCTTCTGGGGAAAATAGGTGCTCTGCTACTAGATCTGTTTAAATGTGTGAATAAGTGACTATTTACACCCTGCATATGATCCATTTGCTTTCCAAATATCAAACCCATGTCTCTTTCATTATTTTAAGCTGCTGGTAGTGCAAGTATTGTCTAACTGCAAAGCTTAGACACAGGTCTTAACAGCTAAATGGTGCCACAGAGATATAAAACATTATTTCATGGCTATTTATATTTTTGTTGTTATGGTTAAGTATAGTGGTGGCCCAGGAGAGATTTATGTATGACAACAGTTCCTGGAAAGTCAGTTTGTATTCTGGTTGAGCATAAGAATCTTTTTCTTTATTTTGTCTTCCATCAAAGCTAGCAAAAACATCAAGCAGGACAGGAGAAGTCCTAGGGCATGGTGAATTATTACTTTTTCAGTGACACTCATTGTCGCCGAGAGATTAAGATTTTTAGTTGTGAAATAGGAGGCTGTTGAATTGGGTTGAATAAAATAATGCCAAACAATTTACATATCATTCTATAGTTTTGAACTGTACATTTCTAAGCTGTTTTTTGAACATACTTCTCTACTTCATAAACTATTTAAATGATACTTGGACTGAACTATGTCACATTCCTGTAAAGATGCCGGTAGCTGAATTATTCAATACTATTTAAGGAATATTATTTGACTCTTTTCTGTTTCTTCATCCATCTTCAGATCTTCTTTCTTCTGAAATGCCTGACTTGCCCCTAACTTTTTTCATTGCATGATCTAAGCCACATATACTATTATTTCGGAAAACTCAATGTATAGAAGGATAATGTCAGCCTTTCAACACCTGACCTTTACAGATGCAAATCTTTTGAAGACAAGGGAAGGTGAAGAGGATTAATGCATCTCAAATTTGGGTCTTGAGGAGATTGAGGCCAGACTGCACAGTGACAAATCACAGAAATGTGCTTATGGATGGTTCAGGCTGCTTTCATCTGCTCTTCTCTGATAATTGCTTTGCAAATGGCTGACATATACTATGAAAGCAGTGAGAGAGCCTTGTAATTGCCATAACATTTACAATCCAATCAGTTTGAGCTGAACAGTGAAAAAGGATAACTAGTGTTAACCTGTAACTTGCAGGCTTCCAGAACAATTTTGTAAGCTTACATCAAGGAGACCTGTATTTATATGCAGGTTACTAGTGCTGATACCACCTACTGAAAGTAACATGCATTGCATTTTTGGAAACCATCCTTGATGTGTTCTTGAGGTATTCATAATCCCTACCTTCTTACTTTATTTATAGCCATTCTGCCTCATTTGTTGCTTTTGGAATATACCTATGTATATATGCATTTTCTGTGCCAAAGTAAATTTTGGTTCTTATTTATTATCATATTATTTAGTTACACCTATGAAACCTGAGCTTTTTCACCAAGTTCTTCAAAGAACAACTGCTACCTCTTAGTGCTTCTGGAAGTACCATCAAGCTGGGGAGTTCAGACCTTTCGACATTCACTTGTAAGAATGCACTGGCCAACAGTCTTGACCTTTCTTCCTAGGGAAAGGTTGTAGGTGTAGTGTCAGTCCTTTGTCAAGTTAACACCAATAATTGTGCATCCCTGCAAGCAATTTTTAATTCTTTAGTGGGAGGCTTTTGTGAAGGAGAGGACTAGATCACAGGAAACTTGTTCTCTTTTTCCCTCCTACCACTTCTTTTACTCTATGTTCACCTTTGCCTAATCTCCCTGTTTCCATTAGGTAAAATCTAAAACTAACTGAAGGAAGAGAAGTGATAAATATATTTCCAGAAACTGTTAATGTGAAGGAGGATTGATTTGGGACTGGGCAGCACCAAAATAAAGAAAGGAGACTGTCAACAGATGAACCTAATGGAAGAATCTCTTTTAACTCCCACATTGTAAAAAAACATTTCTCCTGACTTCTAGAAATGCTGAATCAGATGCCAGATGAAGCCACAATGACCCCTGAACAAAGATGGCTCAGTTAATTTGTTGCTCTTGCATGAAATGTCATCCTGGTGCTAATTAGCTAAAAATAAATAGCGTAAGTTTTCTAGACTCACTCTCAAAGATCACTTCAGGCTTTAGGAGACTCCCTGATACTGAAATCCCAAGTACTTTCATTGCTTCTGAAAAGGGGCAAGAAATGATTTCTAAAATATCAGTCTTCCTCACAGAATTTGTGGCTGGAATTGGAACAGGAAGACAATTGCAGTTCTTCCAGCATTTCCACTGTTGCTGTTTTAGCAGCTTGTCTAGCTCAAAGAAACACAGAAGCAGAAACTGATTTTTTTATACCTACCCATATAAAATTATATCTCTTGTTCCCTGGATGCCTGTTTGTTTTTTAAAGCATTTTCTGCACATATCTATGGAGTGCAAGCTTAGCATGTGAGAGTCCATTTATTAGAAAAATAGGAAATCTCTGCAAATTATTTTTTAAAAAGTAAGGACAGTACATGTTTGCTTGAAGACTTGATGTTTCTTTGTGAATTACCTTTTATCCTTTGGAGTTGAAGATCTTCTAACATGTTTGATAAGTGGCGTGCTGCCAGGTCTCTCACATAGACCACCCACCCTTCAGTGACGTCAAGGAAGTCCCCAAGTTTGCATTATTCAATGGTAACGAAGCCTTTGCTATCTGACTACACAGATGGCGAGCAAAAGGATGGGAACCTTTGGATTGGACTGCATCCCTTGACTGATTTATTTTCTCAACTGAACTTCTTTGTAGCAAATAAACCTTCTGTTTGGCATACTTGCAATGAGAAATTAATGTTCCAATCGATGATGGGTCCTTTAGCTTCCAGCTGATTTCAAAGTGCGTCACACTTCTAGAAGAAAAACTCACTGAAAACTGCATAGACTGGTAAAAAGCCTTTCACAAGTCCTGCTGTGCAATCACCAGGAATATGCTTTACACAGCTGAGCTCAGTGCAGTGCTCATTGCATGGGACTGCATACATTATCTCTTACCTTTTTATTCTGCTTCTCTTTTCTTGTGTCCCTGTAGTGCTCCAATCTTTGTCCATGCAAACAGATTCACAAGAGCATCTGTGAAATGTAATGGCAGGATAAAATACTACTACTAGCATTCTGATTTCCTTCTTTGTACTCTGCATCCTCTGCCATCTGCTCTTGGGCTCTTCCTGATGTTTTTATGTTGTAAAACCCTTTGAGACAGGATGTTTTCTTTTTTATTTGTTAAGAGCCTCATGTAGAGTAATGATAAACAGGAATCTGAGGTTATGATGAATACCGAGTTGCTGTACTTTCCTGATATTGTGGAATGTGTCGGTTACTCAGGTGTGCGGGGCTACTCCAGGCAAGGATGAGAAAGGCTCCTGGTAGCTATATGTCAGCTAATATTTAAGAGTGGGATTGATACTAACACTACTAAGTTTTTATGATTTTGTGTCCATATGTCCTGTATATACAAGACAAGACCTGTATATTTAGATTAAAGGACTCTGAAACTTCCTAGATATTAGGAAGAAGTTCTTGGTGAGACACTGGCACAGGTTGCCTAGAGAAGATGTGGCTTCCCTATCCCTGACAGGGGAATATCAGGACAGATAGCTCATGAAATGGTTTGTTAGAAGGAATAGAGAAAAGTGCAAGAACTCCACTGGTAGATGTGCTCTGACATCTCTCAGACTTCACCCTTTTTTATGAAAATTGAATTATAAAATCTTAATTTACAGAATTCACCCTTAAGAGTGTAACACCTTTTGAAGTTATTTGCCTCAGATGACACAGATATTTTGTGACACTAGGAAGTAGAATGTAAGAACCATGATTTACTTTTATGTTCAAAATTTCTTTCATAGCTTTTGTGTAATAAACATTTGTAGGTACAAGTAATAGTAAAGGGAAGTCAAATTCAGATGTATCTTGGACAGATCTAAGTTTCAATATGCATAGTTGGATGAGGAAACATGATTTGCATATATAGATTTTGTTTATAAATAGGTGTGTAAAAATTTTGAGCATCCTGTTGAAAATGTGTACTTTCAATTTAAATGCCACTGACTGAAGGAACA